ACTTTCGAAAATTTTAGGAAGGATCGGGAGCACAGATATTGGACGATAGTTGTTCACATCACTTTTAGACCCTCCCTTGTGGATTGGTACCACTTTGGCAACTTTCAGATCGGCGGGGAAACATCCATTTATTAAAGACAAGTTACATATGTGTGTCAAATAAGGCGCGATAGCAGGGGCCGCCAGCTTCAAAAGTTTGATAGGATGGCAGTTGATGCCAGTCGACGTTCCAGAGTCCTTGCCCAGTAGCTGATCAAGAACAAACTCACTTGCAACCTCATGAAAGGAAAAGGAAGATAAAGGTGGGTCAATATAAGAACAAGGATCAATGTTATTCGAATCAAGTGCACTGTCTAATTTAAAAGGAATATTTACAAAAAAAAATCGTTAAAAGCATTACAGTACTTATTTCCTGTTCATTAGTAAACGTACTATCGTTGATAGTTGTCAACATCGCTTATCTGTGTGATAGTTGACCAAGGTAGTTTATCTACATCTTGTAGAAATTGTTCTTCATTAAAATTGCGAAAATTACGAAATGTTCTTTGGTCATGTTCATTTTATATGGTTTAAGTTTCAGTGAGGTAAAAATAAAATCATGACCGCTAAGAAATTGAATTACAAAAGTGTTTTGGTGCAGGCAAGTATTTGTTGTCAGGATCAGATCAATCAAAGATTGACCGTCGTCAGTGGTGCGAGTTGGAGAAGGCACTATTTGAGTAAGACGAAAGAGATCCATTTTATCCTGTAGATTGTTGCGATTTGAGTGGGATTTCAAAAAATCAATATTAAAGTCACCCAAAATTATTAAGTCTCTTGCAACACAATAAGTATTTAAAAAGTTTTCAAAATTTTCAATAAAAAATTGCAGGTGTATTTGGGGGTCTGTACACAGTTGTTATACGAACATACATCAAACATCATAGCTATGACAAAAATAACATAAAGACGACTTAATCAATCTATCGTCTTGAATGTTTAACCAGTGTTTTAATTAAGGCTAAAGTTCGGGTGAATGCCGTATCATCATCGTACTTGCATCGTATAATTGTATTGGCAAATCAACCGCAATTACAATACTGTACTGCGACGTTCCGCAAACTATGGTCCGCGGCCCAAAGTTGGGCCGCGAAACATTTTTTAGGGCCGCGAAGCCGTCTGGAAATTGAAAAAAAACCCAAACAAATAAAGCTGCTTCATTGTTACAGCGAATGCGTCGTTTGCACACGCTGCTAAAAGTGCCAGATGATGCGTGCTATTTGTGTTATAAGCGGTTTTTTTTATGCCCCCTCGGGAGCCTTTATCTGTATATATATTCCTGATAGTTCTAGTATGCAACATTATTTTCTATAAATAAATATACTGTAAATATACCTTTTTTAAGCATTAAATACATGTCAAGCGCGGATCCAGAGTTTACCCTGGCTTTCGCACAGGTGGGTTCCCATATTGGGAGAGTCATGAGAAGAGAGCTAGCTTGTTTTGTGGCTGGAAGATAAATTTTAGATATTCGAAAATTTTTGTTTTCTAGATTCTTTTAAATACACTTCGTGCATTATGAGGCGTCTATTATTGAATACACTTTTAATTCATAGTTTTTCCCTACTTTGCTATAGACAATTAATAATTATGATGATGAAGAAGATTATGATGATGATGAGGAAGCTGTGCAAGATTAATTAACAAGCCCTTTTATGTGAAGTGTCAAGCGAGGCCCGTAGCCTAAGTTACGTTTGGGTATTTGGAGACATTATCGTCGTCGTCAAATGTTCAATGCACACAGTCGGACAATAGATGATTTATGATATCTGTTTTGTATAGAAAGTAATCTGAAACCCATAAAGTATCAGTTCAGGCATTCATTTATCTGTCTGTGGAAAATATAACATACGAATCATACAAAATAAAAAGAATTCAAATAAAATTAAAAATATGTAAAAAACATCTACACTAAATCAAAATGGAATATTCACTGCCTGTTGAATCCCAGTTTTAGTATTGCAGGGGTTCTGAAGGCTTTACAGAATAACCAATCCCCGTATTTCTGATAGATTGCTGATTAAATTGTAAAATATTAAGATTTTATATTCAGTACGGTACATTCTCAAATGTTATGTAAATCTCATATTAAATTACGTTATATTCATGCACCGAAGTAGAAAGTTTAACTTAATAATTTTGATATGTTTTATGCTGAATGGTTTTTATTGATATTATTGCTGTCTAATATGACCACAACATAAGGAAGTCCTCTCCTTTAAACTTATAACCTACTAAACTTTGCGTATCTCAATATACATATATATTTCCTTAAATCAAAGTCCACTCGTTAAATTAGTATATATAGTATAGAGAATATTGTCTGTCAATCTCAGATATCCAAATTTTAGGAAATTACGTTTTATGATGCACCGACATGAGAACTTTAACTTAATAACTTTGATATGTATATGTTTTATGTTGTTTGTTGAATGGACTTCCTTAATAATAATATTACATTCTAATATGACTACAACATAAGGAAGTCCATTCTGTAAATGTTAAGCATAATATTGTACAGAGAATTTCGATTGTTTATCAATATCATCATGTTAGCTCCAAAAAGAGGAAAAGATTAAACATAATGATTTTGATATGTACATGTTTTATGTTATGTGTTGATTGGTCTTAGTTAATAATATTACAGTTTAATGACTTAATGTAATGGTTTACAATAATATTACAGTTTAATGGCCCTGAACCCTGACATGGGGCCCTTGGCGGTCCCCTAGCCCCAATCATCAGTGCTCGCGCTTCGCTCGCAACCTGACCATTTCACCTCTCGTGGTTACGGCCCAGCTATGACGTGTGTGGCTGAACCGTGTTTGGTTGAATCATGGTAGAAAGAAAAAACAATCAACAATTGTCGGGGGCG